GAGAGAGAGAGAGAGAGAGAGAGAGAGAGAGAGAGAGAGAGAGAGAGAGAGAGAGAGAGAGAGAGAGAGAGAGAGAGAGAGAGAGAGATTTTGACTCGAGAAGGGTAATATTGAGAATTATCATCAGAGCGTTGTGGTCGGCTGGAAATGGAGGGGACTGACACGGAACATGGGCGACAATGGAAGGGCATTGACTCCGACCTTGGTTTGCTGTGATGCAGTCGTTGCTACTTTATGATGGTCGACATGGACTGAATGCTAATGATGGTTTCCAGCTGGAGGTGTTCGTGAGATAGGAAAAAAGTGCTCAGATGTTTATCTGACATAAAAAATTTTGCACGATGTCACGATGTGTGAATGTTTTTGGCCGAGCGGTTATTGGTGCCGTTTAGGATAGATGCAGGAAGGCTCCTGAGTCCTGATTGGTTGGGGTAATGGACTTTTGAGGTAGCACATTTAGGAGGAGCAGTAGTGGTGATGGGGAATAAGATTGACTGGAAGAAACGGCCGAAGGAAGAGGAGGAGGAGGCATGCTGCGAGCCGGCGGCGTGGTGGTGGTCCAATTTTTTTATGTTTTTTTTCGTGTGGAACCGTAGCAGGATGACGATACGTCGTTGATGAGGTTTGTCGAATGACGGCAGATTGTCTACCAGAAAAGATGTGTCGAACCACGATTTGTCTTTCGACGAGATTTGTCGGAAGAGTCAAGTTTTTTTGTCTTGTTCTTTTTTGGTGTTTTCTGTCATCGAAAAGGAACCGTTTCTCGACTTGTGCGTGTCTCGTGCAGAGGAAATGCTAATCTCTCCTCCTCTGTATCGTTTCAATTTTAGCGGATATCTTGACGGGAAGAAGACTTAGGGCGTCGTTCGACACTCCTCGGGGACGCAATTCCGAGGATTTCGTCTTCGTTCCACCCGTGCTCGGAGATGAAATCGGAAATGAAAATGTGAAAACACTCCGAGGACAAATCCTTGGGCTCCGAGGATTTCCTAGCCAAATCGTCCTCGAACTCGAAGGACCTCGCGAGGTCCTTCGAAGCCCGAGGATCCGTGTTTCACGGAGAGGAGAGGGCATGCACGTAGAGAGACGTTACAACCGAGAATTCTGATTGTGGAGGCACCCTATTGGCTGAAAGCCTGAAGCACAACTTTTTTTCTTTGTTTTTTTCTTTTTTTTTTCTGACATTGCTCCGAGGATGAGTCCTAAAAGTGGAACGAAGATGACAAAAACCCTAAACTTTTCCGAGGATTCATCCTTGGAGCCCGAGGATGCCCCGAGGAGTGTCGAACGACGCCTTTAGAAGAGAATGCAGTTTTCGATCCATGAGAGATTGGCCCCCCACATGCTGAGTTTTAAGGCAATTGGGGCCAGATTCCATTGGCAAACAGGACTGGAATTAAGTGTGTGAATCTGGACGATTTTGTGGAGAGGTGCAAAAAACTGCGATTGATCTGTGGAGAGGTGCAAAAAACTGCGATCGGTCTGCTTTTCTGCATCTCTGTGTGGAAGACACGTCCCGATTCAGACACTTATTCCAATCCCCTTTGCCAGCGGGATCTGGCGGATTCTGGCCCCTTGGGCTACATGATTATGTAGAGGGATAGCAACGGGTAAAGGGCCAGATCCCACTGGCAAAGGGGATTGGAATAAGTGTCTGAATCTGGACGTGTTCCGCACAGAGATGCAGAAAATTAGATCAATCACAATTTTCCGCACCTCTCCACAAACACGTCCAGATTCACAAACTTACTACAATCCTCTTTGCCAGTTAGAAACGGAGAAGAGAATCGCTCGAAATGAAAGGAGTCTAGATTCAAAAGACACAGTGGGACGTCCTTTGGGACATCCGTTGAAATTGGAACGAAACAGAGAAGAGTAGCATGGCCCCCGCGCTTTCAAGGATGACATGCATAAATCGAGAAATGGTCTATAAAAAAAAAAAGAAAGAAAGAAAGACACAGTGGGACTCGGTTTCTGAGAGAGTCTGGTTACAGATTCAGTGGTGCAGATTAATTCAGGCAATTCTTTTTTTTTTTTTTTAAGTGAAGTGATCTCAAAAAGGATCTTGTGCAGTAGTGTGGGAACTAGGACAGGGGTTTGAACTTGCAGAGTCGCAACCTGTGTATTGTTTTTTCCTGTGCAGCCTGAGAGGGGATTGTTGTCAGGAGCATGTTCTTTGGAGAGGGGTTAAAACCACCAGCACTCTGGCCATACGTTGGCCGCGGAAATAAATTCGAGTAGAAGCATTTCTCCTATCTACTATCTAGTTGAAAGAATTTGGGTGCTCCCATCCTTGGTGGCCCATCCATTCCGTCCATTGTCGTCGTGGCTGTGTTTTTTTTAACTTTTTTGACTGTAGGAATACTACTGGGAAGTTGGGTGCTCCCGTCCTTGGTCGCCCGTCCGTTCCGTCCATCGTCATCATGAGCTAGGTCGAGGTAACATCCGACTGTCGGAGGTAGTAGTGGTGGGTGATTAACAATTACGCTTCTATTTCAAGTTCTGATGACCAAGCTAGCAAGCGCCTTCTGACGTAGGCGATGCTTCTGACGTCCAGTGGTTTCTGCTCACATTGCTGGGTCAGAGAGCAGAAAGCACAGGACGTCAGAAGCAGCCACAGTAGTTTCACTGAAAGCAAAGTTCTAGAAGCCGGGTATTTTCCCAAGGCAGTGCTGGCGCATGGTGTATTCTCCCTTGCTGGTTCTTCCTGGGCCGCGCTGGTTGCAGTCGTTCAACAGGTATTCCATTTGGGTGCCCGACACAGCGAGATTTGGTTTTGACAGTGGGGTCACACTGTGCGCATGAAGAGCTGTCAGAATCCACATAGAAACGTTTGAACTTTGACCCGTGCATTTTGTTTTTTCTTTTTTTTTGGGGGGGGGCAAACTGGAAATTCAAAAAAATATCAAGAAGTATATAAATTAATAAGAAGAAGAAGAAGAAGAAGGAAGAAGAGGATCAAGAGGAAGAAGGAAAAGAAGAAGAGGGGGAGAAAATATAAAGAAGAGGATAAGGAAGATGAAGAAGAAGACGGCGAAGAGGGTGGGGGGGTGGGTGGGGGGGAGGAGGGGAACGTCGGCTCACCGCAGAAGGCAATGGAAAAAAAGCCAAGGGAGCACTTTCAGATTCCATTCCCACCAAGAAATTTTGTGGTGGTAGAACGGGAGCTACCACCAGTTGCACTCCCCATGCAAGACAACCCCATCTGACACCCAGCCCATTACCCCCCCTATCCTTCATACCATTCGTCCCGCCCTTCCCTGTCCAGCATACCTTGACATCTCGCGACGGCAACTTTCTTTTCCATGCTGCTGTTATGGTACCGAATGGGCATCCCACTGATTCCAGCATAATCCACATCATGTTCTGTTCAGATGTCCAAGCTGCCCTGTGACTAGGTGGCAAAGGGCCAAAAACTCTTTTTTAAAGAAAGGAAAGAAGAGCAACAGCCTTGACATATTATCTTCAGCCGAAAACTCTAAGAAAACTGAAGTCTTGAAACAATTCACTCTTTCAAGATTAGTGTGGTGAGGCCCCATCTCTGCCAATGGCATGCAGTAACCGCGGGTCCTGCTACCCACCAATAGATTGGAGCAACCAGGCAGTCCGCTAGGAGGGGTGCTCTTATCACCTCTTCTAGCGGAGGGGCCGGTTTTCCAATTGGGAAAAAAAAAAAAACATCTGGCTGGAGTAACCAAAGCAAGCAATGCTGCTACGCCCTTTGAAGACAGATCATATATATACATATATATCGTCACAAACAGAACTGCCCGGTAAACCGTAGGCAGAGAGAGAGAGAAGAGGACAACAAACGAGGGGCTGTGACAAACTGTTTCGTCGGAGTATATATATATACATACACACATATATACACATATATACACACATATATATATATATATCATCATAAACAGAACTGCCCGGTAAACCGTAGGCAGAGAGAGGGTTGCCGGCGTTCGGGACGGGCCGAACACCCGAACGTACGGGACCCCTTCGGAAGGCGTTCGGCCATTCGGGCCGAACGCGGACCAAAAAAAAAAAAAAAAAAAAAAAAGAATGCAAAAAATTCCGAAAAAAACATATGTTATGGAGAAACATAAACTAACCAACATTTGCCTGGGGACTGGACCCACTAGCGAAGTATTCTACGATGTGTGACACAGTTTTATGGTTTTTTGGAAAATACGAAGTGATTTTTTATTTGCATGAATGGATCGTTTTCTGATTTAAAATGAATTGACATAGCCCATAAAACTATGAAGAACAGCTGTGCACTCGAATTCATGGGTTGGTATAATCTCCTTCACGTAAGTCTTCATACTGATGTACCGTGGCAATAAAATGTGTCCGCGAACACATTCACGAGGATGAACAAGTAATGGGTATTGGGATACATTCCTCGCGACGTATCTAATGATGACTTTAGCAGGCCATCCAACAGACGCCGAAGCGTTCCTGTCAGATGCACCACAATATTCGAATTTCACGTTTCAAGTTCTATTTCTCAGAGCCAAAAAAAAAAAAAAAAGAAGTCTGGAAATCAACCCCCCCCCTTTTAAAGCCCATAAAATCCAGACTTCCCGCCCAGGCAAAGCCACGAGCTATCATGTCCAAGTTAGTCCAACTTCGTTTGTTTTTTTTTTCCACGCATCTCATTGGACGGGAGGTGGGCATCTTTACAGTCCCCGCTAGGAAACTACCAGGCCGTCGAGATCCGATCTATTCGACAGCCGTACTGAGTCACTCGATGCCACACGTGATTGAAATCCTGAACGGCTTGGTAGAATACCTTGCTAGTGGGTCCAGGCCCCTGGGCACTACATCCAAATTCTTTACCAAATTTGAAATAAAAATCAAATACAGAAATTACACACTATGATAAAAATAAGAAAAAATAAAAAAGAGAATTAAAATGAATGTGTGCCAGCACCTTTTCGACACCACCATCTTTGTCTATTTTCAATTATTTTTTGGCATTGACAAATGCCCTGAAAATTTACAGATATGTAGTTTACATAATCAATAACTCGTTAAAAAAATTTCAAAAATAATAAAATGTTTTAGGCCCCAAAATAAAGTGAAAACAAAAAGTTAAAAGTGAAAAAAAACAAAATAGTGAGTGGGCGAGCACGTTTTGACACCCCCATCTTAGACGATTTTTAATGTTTTTTTTGGCTTCAAAATTTATAGGCGTGTAGGTTACATCATAGAGAACTCACAAAAAAAAATTCAGAAAAAAAAACTTATTTTTAGGCCCCGAAACATTTTTTGGCGGGGGCCGAACCTGGAGGTGTTCCGCCCCCGAACGCCCGAACGTTCGGGGGCCAGCCTGGGGACCCCCGAACGTTCGATCAGGTAACCCTGGTCACAATATATATATACACACATATATCGTCACAAACAGAACTGCCCGGTAAACCGTAGGCAGAGAGAGAGAAGAGGACAACAAACGAGGGGCTGTGACAAACTGTTTCGGCGGATCGACTCATATAATCTTAAAAGGGACGCTAGGACCACATCCCAGCATGCGGGACTGCCGAGAAGTGAATTGGAACTGGTAATTAAAAAAAAAAAAAAAAAAAAAAAAGAACAAAAGACTCGTGACAGTTGTGATCTAAGTTATGGGTGGGG